GATCACTACCCGTTGAGCCTGACAATCTAGCCAGCTTTCTACCCAACTTGTAGTGCATCCATCCAGCCCATACTTCTTTAACTTGCTGACAAGAATACTGTGGGAGACCGTGTCAAAAGTTTTGCTACAGTCAAGGAACAACACGTCCACCGCTTTCCCCTCATCCACAGAGCCAGTTATCTCATCATAGAAGGCAATTAGATTAGTCAGGCATGACCTTCCCTTGGTGAATCCATGCTGACTGTTCCTGATCGCTTTCCTCTCCTCTAAGTGCTTCAGAATTGATTCCTTCAGGACCTGCTCCATGATTTTTCCAGGGACTGAGGTTAGGCTGACTAGCCTGCAATTCCCAGGATCCTCCTTCTTCCCTTTTTTAAAGATGGGCACTACATTAGCCTTTTTCCAGTCATCCGGGACTTCCCCGGATCGCCATGAGTTTTCAAAGATAATGGCCAATGGCTCTGCAATCACATCCACCAACTCCTTTAGCACTCTCAGATGCAGCGCATCCGGCCCCATGGACTTGTGCTCATCCAGATTTCATAAGAGATGAAAAACAAAAGACTGGTCTAGTAGATGCGGAGGAGGGGAAGATAAGCAACCCACAGGCTTGGCCTGACAAACTACAGATTTCAACCAGCTGGATGGGAAAATGTTGTAAGAATAACTTTGGGGTAAGAAATATGTTGCCAAATAGGAGTTGAGTTTCGAGGCTACACTGCAAGTTACATAAACCCAAGTCCAGTAAATCTTTTTAAGTTTGTTTCCAGTATTTCTGTGTAAATATACTTGCTTTCTCTAATCTCTGCTATCATATGAACCTCTATAAAGAAACCTAAGTACAGTGTATTAGACAGAGAGGTGTTCTAACCTGTAACTAGTAAACTAGGGCATACAAACAGGTTTCAGAGTAACAGCCGTGTTAGTCTGTATTCGCAAAAAGAAAAGGAGTACTTGTGGCACCTTAGAGACTAACCAATTTATTTGAGCATGAGCTTTCGTGAGCTACAGCTCACTTCATCGGATGCATTCCGTGGAAACTGCAGCAGACTTTATATACACACAGAGAATATGAAACAATACCTCCTCCCACCCCACTGTCCTGCTGGTAATAGCTTATCTAAAGTGATCATCAAGTTGGGCCATTTCCAGCACAAATCCAGGTTTTCTCACCCTCCACCCCCCCACACAAATTCACTCTCCTGCTGGTGATAGTCCATCCAAAGTGACAACTCTCCACACAATGTGCATGACAATCAAGTTGGGCCATTTCCTGCACAAATCCAGGTTCTCCCACCCCCCTCCCAAAAACCACACACACAAACTCACTATCCCGCTGGCAATAGCTCATCCAAAGTGACCACTCTCCCCACAATGCGCATGATAATCAAGGTGGGCCACCCCCAGCACAAATCCAGGCCTTCTCACCCCCCCCACCTCCATACACACACAAACTCACTTTCCTGCTGGCAATAGCTCATCCAAACTGACCACTCTCAAAGTTTAAATCCAAGTTAAACCAGAACATCCGCGGGGGGGGGAGGGGTGTAGGAAAAAACAAGGGGAAATAGGCTACCTTGCATAATGACTTAGCCACTCCCAGTCTCTATTTAAGCCTAAATTAATAGTATCCAATTTGCAAATGAATTCCAATTCAGCAGTTTCTCGCTGGAGTCTGGATTTGAAGTTTTTTTTGTTTTAAGATAGCGACCTTCATGTCTGTGATTGCGTGACCAGAGAGATTGAAGTGTTCTCCGACTGGTTTATGAATGTTATAATTCTTGACATCTGATTTGTGTCCATTTATTCTTTTACGTAGAGACTGTCCAGTTTGACCAATGTAAATGGCAGAGGGGCATTGCTGGCACATGATGGCATATATCACATTGGTGGATGTGCAGGTGAACAAGCCTCTGATAGTGTGGCTGATGTTATTAGGCCCTGTGATGGTGTCCCCTGAATAGATATGTGGGCACAAGGTCGATATCTTAAAACAAAAAAACTTCAAATCCAGACTCCAGCGAGAAACTGCTGAATTGGAATTCATTTGCAAATTGGATACTATTAATTTAGGCTTAAATAGAGACTGGGAGTGGCTAAGTCATTATGCAAGGTAGCCTATTTCCCCTTGTTTTTTCCTACACCCCCCCCCCCCCGGATGTTCTGGTTTAACTTGGATTTAAACTTTGAGAGTGGTCAGTTTGGATGAGCTATTGCCAGCAGGAAAGTGAGTTTGTGTGTGTATGGAGGTGGGGGGGTGAGAAGGCCTGGATTTGTGCTGGGGGTGGCCCACCTTGATTATCATGCGCATTGTGGGGAGAGTGGTCACTTTGGATGAGCTATTGCCAGCGGGATAGTGAGTTTGTGTGTGTGGTTTTTGGGAGGGGGGTGAGGGGGTGAGAGAACCTGGATTTGTGCAGGAAATGGCCCAACTTGATTGTCATGCACATTGTGTGGAGAGTTGTCACTTTGGATGGACTATCACCAGCAGGAGAGTGAATTTGTGTGGGGGGGTGGAGGGCGAGAAAACCTGGATTTGTGCTGGAAATGGCCCAACTTGATGATCACTTTAGATAAGCTATTACCAGCAGGACAGTGGGGTGGGAGGAGGTATTGTTTCATATTCTCTGTGTGTATATAAAGTCTGCTGCAGTTTCCACGCTATGCATCCGATGAAGTGAGCTGTAGCTCACGAAAGCTCATGCTCAAATAAATTGGTTAGTCTCTAAGGTGCCACAAGTACTCCTTTTCTTTTTAGGGCATACAATTCCTTTGTAAACGGCCACCCTGGTAATTAGAATCATAGAATCATAGAATATCAGGGTTGGAAGGGACCCCAGAAGGTCATCTAGTCCAACCCCCTGCTCGAAGCAGGACCAATTCCCAGTTAAATCATCCCAGCCAGGACTTTGTCAAGCCTGACCTTAAAAACCTCTAAGGAAGGAGATTCTACCACCTCCCTAGGTAACGCATTCCAGTGTTTCACCACCCTCTTAGTGAAAAAGTTTTTCCTAATATCCAATCTAAACCTTCCCCACTGCAACTTGAGACCATTACTCCTCGTTCTGTCATCTGCTACCATTGAGAACAGTCTAGAGCCATCCTCTTTGGAACCCCCTTTCAGGTAGTTGAAAGCAGCTATCAAATCCCCCCTCATTCTTCTCTTCTGCAGGCTAAACAATCCCAGCTCCCTCAGCCTCTCCTCATAACTCATGTGTTCCAGTCCCCTAATCATTTTTGTTGCCCTTCGCTGGACTCTCTCCAATTTATCCACATCCTTCTTGAAGTGTGGGGCCCAAAACTGGACACAGTACTCCAGATGAGGCCTCACCAATGTCGAATAGAGGGGAACGATCACGTCCCTCGATCTGCTCGCTATGCCCCTACTTATACATCCCAAAATGCCATTGGCCTTCTTGGCAACAAGGGCACACTGCTGACTCATATCCAGCTTCTCGTCCACTGTCACCCCTAGGTCCTTTTCCGCAGAACTGCTGCCTAGCCATTCGGTCCCTAGTCTGTAGCTGTGCATTGGGTTCTTCCGTCCTAAGTGCAGGACCCTGCACTTATCCTTATTGAACCTCATCAGATTTCTTTTGGCCCAATCCTCCAATTTGTCTAGGTCTTTCTGTATCCTATCCCTCCCCTCCAGCGTATCTACCACTCCTCCCAGTTTAGTATCATCCGCAAATTTGCTGAGAGTGCAATCCACACCATCCTCCAGATCATTTATGAAGATATTGAACAAAACCGGCCCCAGGACCGACCCTTGGGGTACTCCACTTGATACCGGCTGCCAACTAGATATGGAGCCATTGATCACTACCCGTTGAGCCCGACAATCTAGCCAGCTTTCTACCCACCTTGTAGTGCATTCATCCAGCCCATACTTCCTTAACTTGCTGACAAGAATACTGTGGGAGACCGTGTCAAAAGCTTTGCTAAAGTCAAGAAACAATACATCCACTGCTTTCCCTTCATCCACAGAACCAGTAATCTCATCATAAAAGGCGATTAGATTAGTCAGGCATGACCTTCCCTTGGTGAATCCATGCTGGCTGTTCCTGATCACTTTCCTCTCATGCAAGTGCTTCAGGATTGATTCTTTGAGGACCTGCTCCATGATTTTTCCAGGGACTGAAGTGAGGCTGACTGGCCTGTAGTTCCCAGGATCCTCCTTCTTCCCTTTTTTAAAGATTGGCACTACATTAGCCTTTTTCCAGTCATCCGGGACTTCCCCGGTTCGCCACGAGTTTTCAAAGATAATGGCCAATGGCTCTGCAATCACAGCCGCCAATTCCTTCAGCACTCTCGGATGCAACTCGTCCGGTGTTCAGTGACTGTCCAGTACATAAGGGCCTGGGACACTATAGAGAGACACTCAGAGCACCTGGGGTGTGGAGTATGCCTATTGCTAGACTGCATCAAGGACAGCAAAGCACACACGGACTGAAAATGCAGTGCTTCTATTCGTTGGGGCTAGGAGAGGCAAGGAGCTGACCCCAGGCAGGCACATACAAGGCTTTCTCCAAACCCTGTGTATCCCTGAGAAGCGTCACACACAATTTAAAATGTGCAAAATGAGACACAGAAAAAAATCGTACCTTTAGAAAACATGACCTATGACAAAAGGGGAAAGGTTTAATCTAGACAAAAGACAGCTCAGGGGAGGATACAGAAAGTCTTCAAATATATAAAAGGTTCTTCTAAAGAGGACACTGATCAGCCGATTACTTGTGCTCCTAGCCTCTGTGGACATGGAGAGCAGGTGATTTCCAACAAGGCAAAGTGAACTCATAGACTCATAGACTCATAGAATATCAGGGTTGGAAGGGACCTCAGGAGGTCATCTAGTCCAACCGCCTGCTCAAAGCAGGACCGATCCCCAATTAAATCATCCCAGCCAGGGCTTTGTCAGGCCTGACCTTAAAAACTTCTAAGGAAGGAGATTCCACCACTTCCCTAGGTAATCATTATTAATAATAATAAACAGCACTCACCCACCTTCACCAGGGATATTTCTTGCTGTTTTTTGCAGCACTCAGCAATTCCTGATCTTGTTGTAAAGAGATGAAGAAATAGGGGATATGCCTTGTAATAAGGGTGTTAGCAACCCTAATGTATACTGAGCGTCCTCATTACTACCCTCCCTATTAACAGAAAACTTTCTAACTATAAAGGTAGTTAGCACTAGAATAGTGTGCGTGAGGATGTTGTGAAGTGCCCATCACTGGAGCTTTATAATGACAAGTTAGGCATTTGTCTATCAAGAATGGTCTAGATATACTTATTCCTTCTTCAGCATAGTAGAAAAAGACTGCGTTACCTCCTGAAGGTCCTTCCAACCTGACATTTCTACATGTCTGCAATCTGCTTTCCTATAGCACCACTGTGCTCTTCTAGAAACATTGTAAAGAATGCTTTGACGATTAAATTCTTGACCTATTGAATTCTGCCCTATAATAACTACAAAACCAATATACCTTGCCCAGCATGCTAGTGCTGAGCTTAGAGGTAAGCAGTAGCAGCTTAAATCTTCAAAGAGCACTAACAGCCTAAACTTGTGTGTGTTATGAGATTAAATAGTTCATGGCGTAAATACGATGAATGCAGAAAATCCAGTTCAAACCTGCTTTGCACATGAAGGAACCTGTTGACAGGGATGCGGTGTCCCATAATCCTTAGCCTAACCCCATGCAGAGCACAAGGAATACCAGCCATGCCACAGAAACAGACACGGTGTAACCTCTGAGCAAGAGAAACGCACTTCTTTGATAAAATCTAGCACACTATCCCTTACTGAGCAAGAAGTCCATAACCTGGTCTGCCACCTCTTAACCCTCACCCTTTCAAACTGCTTTGGGATATTTTGGATACAAAGGAAATTGGCGATTTAATTAGGACTCCTTCCCCTCCCTAACAGAGGCTATAGAGGCTTTCATTTAAGCTCTGAAACACTGCAAACATTCTCTCAGCACTTCCACAATTTTGAAGAAACAGACACAACCAGACTTTGCTCATCCATATTCATTAACAGACAGGACGTTCAGGTATTAATGCACATTGAGCTGTTTGCACCAGGTTTCCTCTCTGACACTTCAGCCCGTGTTACACCTATCCTTACCCCTCAGACAAAGCAGCAGGCCCAGGACAAACTTGTAGATTTCCTCTCTAGCACTGGGATATTTGCTAGTGCAGAGACCCCTACCGCTACCCCACCTGTACTCACATGCCCCACAGCCCTTGGTGTGGCAGCTTATGCTCTTGCCTTGTCCTGGGCGCCTCTGTCCTCAGCCTGTGGTGTACTATGTCCTGCTGCAGCATCTGCTCCAGCCTTGGCCATTTGCCAGGATAGACACTACCCCTCTTGGCAGATGCCCCAGGAAAACACTCTCCTATTTTGGTATGGGCGTTGTAATGCTAATATTGTCACTTGATATATCTTTTTATAACAAGCCATGCAACAGGGACTACAAGGGCAGAAAAAACACCATGAACACAGAGGTAGACATTGACAAGGCAGCAGAAGAGAGATTGGTGACATCATCAATCTCACACAAGCATGTAGGACAGTATGACTTTATTTTGTGGTTAAGCTCTCTACAACCTATCCCCACAGAACTCCAGCTTGGAGATGGAGCAAAGAAGGGCTACAGACACAGATACGCAACCCTAGCCATCTCTGGACCCTGGACTCATCCCGGATTCTCTCCCAAATCCCGAGCATTGTTCAGCATATCTCCTGCCACACAACTCGCTAAGCCTGGCCTCAGAATCTGTCTTCATATTGCTGTCGTCCTCCCCCTTGGGGCTGCAGTTCTGCTCCTCAGATTTGTCATTCCTCAGCAACACACCATCATGTCACCTTCTGCTAGAAGACACACCTCACCCAGAGGGAGGAAAAAGCCTCCATAAACAGAGCACACCCAAGCCAGGGAGGAATTCTCCTACCCACACCACAGCTCCAAGGACAAGCTATTCACATTTCAAGCATCCTCCCCACCAAACTATACACTTGAAAGGTCTGAAAACAATTTAAGAAGCTCCATCACACAATGCACTTTGGTTGCACTGAGTCAGCTTCTTTAGTGGTCTGTCACTGAACAAAAAAACCCGGGACAGAGCACCTGATCTGATCATTCCACCAGGCTACAGCATACCTTCCAAAATCCAAGGACCAGGACAGCCCTACACCTAACAGAATCAGGAATGGACTACATCCGAAAATAAAATAGCACAGCGGTTCTTAAACTGAGATCTGTGGACCCCTGGGGGTCCATGAGGATACTCCAGGGGGGTCCGCAAGTCATGTCCGGGGCCGCTGGACCCACTGATCAACTCTCCTTCCCCTCCTTCGCAGTGCCTCTTGCACACCACGGAACAGCTGTTCAGTGGCATGTAGGAATGGGAGAAGTGGAGATGGGGCACACTCAGGGGAGGGAGCGGAAAGAGGCAGGGAAGAGGTGGGTTGGGGTGGGGCCTTGGGGGAAGGGGTGGAGTGGGGGCAGGGCCTGGGGCTGAGCGGGGGTTGAGAACCCCCAGAGAAAAAATTAGAAGCTGGCTTGGGGGTCTGCAAAAATTTTTAAATCAAAATGGGGGTCTTCTGGTTGCTAAAGTTGAAGAACCGCTGAAATAGCACATAATGACCAGTGTAGCTCTGGGCGCACCAGGTCCCATATGCCAACCCCTGACAGTACCATAGGCTCAGCATAAGTCTGACGTATTTACCACACAGAGAATGATCCATGCTGTCTGATCTTGGAGTGCAAACTACTCTGCCCTGCCAAGAGGCATTGCCCAAGACGTTGCTGTTGGGAGGGCACAACAGCCTGGACAATGACAAAAAAGGCCATCATGACCTCAAACTCTCACAAACAGCCCAGAGCAACAGGATCTCCCCCACAGACACACAGCACTACAGTAGCCAAGCAATCTGCACATCAGCCCTCAGGGCAGTACACCTCCATGGCACCATTCACATCCTAAGGAGATGGGATTTCTCTCTCTTTCTGTTTTCATCCACCTAGACTGTGGCCTATTAACAACAGAAAAGATAATGACCCTACCAGTCTTGGCAAACCTGCTGAAGGAGGACCTCAAAGAGGGGTCACAGGTAGGCAGGCAACCAAGAAACAAGCATGCTGTTGGCCTCAGATCCCCAAAAGTAACCAAAATGCAAAAGGGAGAAGCAGCTTTACTGAGTGAACCCACCGGCACCTGCCTCCAGGGCCGGCCTTATGTAAAATAATCCCCTGGGCCAGGCTGAAGGTGGAGCAGAGTTTGGGGCTGGAGCTGGGCAGGGCTGGAGCTCGTTTGGGGGCACAGCTGCGGAGGGGGGAGGGAGGGGAGGAGGTGGAGCACCAGTGCAGAAAGCACAGGGGGTGGGGGCAGACTGCAGCTGCAAGCCCCTGCCTGCCTCTCAGCCGTGACAATGGGCCAGCAATGAGCTATTACAAGCCCTAAACACACACATTCCACAATAGAAAACCTTAGTAGCCCACAGGGCTAACATCAGACTCACTGGGGCTGTAACCTGGGGTCCTGGCACTCAATTAGGGTCAACTGCAAAGAATGGGGCAGACAATCCCCAAACCTGGGGGATAGTCCAATATTTAGTAGCGTCCCCTCTCCACGCAGTTACCTTCTCTAATGCCAATCTGCTTACAGGTTTTGATGGACAGGTCTGGGTACTTCTGGATCCCGCCACCCACTCAGCAGGTGTATCTTCTTTATTGTTCCCTATGAATTTATTTCGCCGTGCCCTGGTCACCAGGGCAGCTTGGGAGGGAAATTCTAACCAGAGGGTAACCCCTACTTACTTGCCAGAGAGTTGGAGACTCCCAAGAAATAACACAAATACATACAATGTATTCAGCACAGTAATTGTATTACACAGGAGACAAACATAACATAACAGAGTAAAACACGATTCTTAGGTTCATCGGTGCCCACACTGATAATACCCGTGACTTTCTCTAGTCACGGGACCTGATGTAGCAAATGTAAGATTAGCATCCCCTTGGTACTGTACTTTGTTGGGGCCCTTGATGACCTGTGACCACGATATCTTCTCTGCAGTGGTTTAGCAGTGTGGCTGACTGGGTTCAGTACAGCCCAAAGGACTCACAAATAGGAGGAGGTGGTAAGTCCCTCCACAGGTTTAACAAGCAGGAGGTTATAAAATCCCCAAACCCTTACTCCCTGGCTTGAGGACACAGTTCAGGGAGTAGGCGGTCCCCAAAACAATTTCCCTGACTGACTAAAAGATGGTGCACTCACAATCTCCATGAATGATCCTCAGGTTCAGAGTTGACTCTGGGCTCCTCGGTCACTGCAGAGGGGCTGATCTCTGCTGGCAGGGATCAGGCTGCTTCTGCTCCCAGGATTTCCCCTCACCACAAAGAAGTGCAGGGCTCAAGGTGCAGATTACACAACTGTACCCTCCTACCCCAGAGTCCAGACACACTCACAGCAGGAGCAGGGCCGCCTGGCGGGGGACAGGGGACAACAACATGGGACAAGTGGGGCAAATTACTCCATGCCCCGCAGGGGCCCCCACAAGACTTTTTGGCAGCAATTCGGCAGCGGGGGCTCCTTCTGCTCCATGTCTTCGGCAAAGTGCGCCGAAGACCCGGAGCGGAAGAACCCCCGCCGACAAAGACCCCAGGCCCCCTGAATCCTCTGGGTGGCCCCTGAGCAGGAGCAGCCCTGGACTAGCAGCCAGAGCAGAGCTGACCATGTGGTGACTGGTCTCCCCTACGGAGCTGAGAGGCGAACTCAGCCTGGCTGGGGAACTTTCCCAGCAAAACTCTACAAACTGGGAGTCATCAGTGGAGAGGGAAAAGCCCAGCTGAGGGACCTTGTTTTGCACCAGATTTAGGTCCCAAGGGGATACCAGATCCCAGACATGGGGGTAGAGGCTCTCCAGGCCCTTCGAGAACTGCACCGTCATAAGGTGGGCAAAGACTGACCTGCCTTGAAATGGAGGCTGGAATGCCGAAATGGCCATTAGATGCACTTTGACTGAAGACAGCGACAGGCCCTGGAGCTTAAGGTGCAGGATGTCTTGCAGCAGGGTCTCCTCTGCAAGGATGCGATGGTCCAAGGCCCAACAAGTAAATCGCTTCCACTTTGCCACATAGGTGGCTCGGGTAGAAGGCTTCCTGGACATCAGTGGAACATCACTGCTCCTCTCCACTCAGTCACGCAGCAGCCAGAATGTCACATGCAGCGCCGCAAGGTTCGGGTGCAGCAGACTGCCATGACTGTGGGACAGCAGATCCAGCCCAACAGGCAGCTGCAGGGAGATTGCTGATGACAGACTCAGCAGCATGCCAAACCAGTGTTGTCATGGCTACGATGGGGCCACAAGGATAACCTTGGTCTTGTCTTGCTTGACCGTCAGGAGGACCC